ATTGTATTTATGTTTAGCCACGCTTTGTTTCCGCTAAAACTTTCAGTACTTATTATCAGTTTTTGCTCCGACGTTAGTCGGATAAGACGTTATGACTGTTTTTATGTATCTATTTAAAATTTTAACGGTTTTTTTTTTTAGAAAAATCAAGTTTTTCACGGTAGCATCCCGAATCAATTTTCGCAAAATAAATATTATATTCAGAAAATTGCGAAAAATCGCGTACTCTGATATAGTAAAAAGTCGGGGTGTTACAATTGGTATCAGAGCACGTTTCTGCGTCTCTGAAAAGTTTTTCAGTCAGTAATTTTCAGAAAAACCTGAACCGTCACGCTCACGCCTCGCCGACTCCAAGTAAGTGCTGATTCAGTTTTTCAGTTATAAATATATTACTTGTCTATGCTCAGAAAACAGTAATCAGACTTAGTGAAGGTGTTCGGATCAGATTCAGACTTTAGAGTTCAGATATAACCTTATAATTCAGTATATTCAGTATGACTCTAGAGTTCCTCAGAATTCATGTCAGTAATTATCGGCCACTTTTGGCGACTCGTCAAGAATTTGTGTGCCTTAGAAATCAGTCAGAATATCATCATGTGTTCAATAATTTCGAACTTTTTCAATGTTCAGATGCCGCCACGTAGGGAACCCGATCATCCGGCTCCTTCTCAGGCTACAGTGGTCGCCCAGTTCCGCGACTATCATGCCGAAAAGTTCTCAGGGCAGGGAGATCCACGCGTAGTGGACGAGTGGATTCAGGGCCTGGAGTTTATCTTCGAGGTCATGGAGTGCCCTGAGAGATATTGCGTAGTTTGCGCTCAGCTTCAGCTCACCGGTGATGCCAGGCTCTGGTGGAACGCTTGCTGGAGCATGCTTCCCGGCGAGAAGGCGGGATGTACGTGGGAGATGTTTAAGGAGTTAATCCGCGAGAAGTACTACCCCACATACTACCGAGCAGAGATGGAGCGTCAGTTTGTATTGCTCCAGCAGGGTACTCGTACTGTCGACGAGTACGAGAGGGAGTTCACGAGACTTGCAGCTTTCGTTCCTGATTTGGTCCGCTCGGAGGCCCAGCGAGCGCAGCGTTTCATTGACGGGCTTTACCCAGCAGTCCGTCATAACATCGTAGGCCACGGGACACAGACGTATGCACGTGCAGTCTCCATTGCTCAGGAGGTGGATGCCAGCATAGGAGGGAGGCCGTTCGTGGTCAGTTTCATCCATCCGCCCCTGCTCAGTCGTCTTCAGTTCCACCGATGTCAGCTTTACCATCTACCCAGCCGCCCAAGAACAACAAGAGGAAAGAGAAAGGTGCCCCGGCAAATAAGAGGACCCGACGGAGGCTACAGCAGATCCCTCAGTGCCCGACATGCGGACGACTCCACCGAGGCGAGTGTCGCTTTGGTCAGGATGTATGCTACTACTGTCATGAGCCCGGACACTTCGCGAACCGTTGTCCGAAGAAGGCGCAACAGCCTCAGCAGCCTCAGCAGCCACCGCAGCAGCAGCAGCATCGTCAGCAGGCACAGAGGCAGCCTCAGCAACAGCAGCAGAGGGGCAGACAGCAGGCCAGAGTTTACGCCATCGATCAGGTAGAGGCCGAGCAGTAGCCAGGTACCATGTCCGGAATGGTTGTTCTTAATAATGTTCCTGTGTTTGCTTTATTTGATACCGGAGCGACACATACTTTCATTTCACGACGATGCCTTGACGCCATCGGAGTTCGCGCTACTACCGCTATCGATCCTCTCGAGGTGAGTTTGGCCTCGGGACGAAAGATAGTGACTTCAGCTAAAGCCTCAGATCTTAGCCTTTCCATCGGTGGCCGAGTATTGTCTACCGACGCGTTTGTTCTCGAGATGAAAGACTTTGATCTTATTCTCGGAATGGATTGGCTATCCTTCTATCATGCGGATATCAAATGTCATGACTGGGAGATTACTCTTTATCTTCCGAAAGACGAGTCGATTACTTTCTTCGGCTCCAGAAATCGTTCTTTGCCTCATGTTGTTTCGATGGTGAAAGCCACTAAGTTGTTGCGACGAGGCAACTGCCAGGGTTATCTGGTGAGCCTTGTTGATGATTCTCAGAAAGCACGTTCACCTCACGATGTTCCAGTCGTTCGAGAGTTTGTGGATGTATTCCCAGGCGAGCTTCCAAGAGGACCGCCTAACAGGCAGGTGGAGTTCTCTATCGATCTCATTCCAGGGGCCGGTCCAGTATCCAAAGCCCCGTACCGTATGGCGCCTAAGGAGTTGCAGGAGCTTAAGGTGCAGATTCAGGAGCTGTTACGACTCGGTTTCATCCGACCGAGTGTGTCACCTTGGGGAGCACCCGTTCTCTTTGTTAAGAAGAAGGACGGATCCATGCGCATGTGTATCGACTACCGGAATCTTAACCGGTTGACGATCGAGAATAAGTATCCGCTTCCCAGGATCGATGACTTATTTGATCAGTTGAGGGGAGCCTGTGTGTTCTCAAAGATTGATTTGCGATCATGCTACCACCAGCTGAAGATTAAGGAAT